ATATCCACCAATATGTTACCCCTTCAAAGAAGCCTTTCCCAACCCTCACATTTAAATCAGGTACCCATGTTAATATTGGCCATCAGTCACCCATTTACTTTTGCTAGATGACACTGCCCACAATTTGTTTGTGGTCTTATGTTTGTCACTCTCACTAATCTATAAACCGCCAAAGGGCAGGGACTGTTTTCCTTATGTGTCCTGTAGCTTCTATAACAAAATGCTTGGCTTCAAGTAGGTGTTTAGTATGTATTTTTTGAGCAAATGAATGTGGTGAGAAAGCAGGAGGGAGGTGAGGGATGGAAGGGTGAGGATAGAAGATAGAAGGTGAGTAAATGGAGAGTGAGGAGAGGATGATAATGAGGAAAGTATGCAAAAGTGAGGCTGGGGATGGAGAGGAGAAGGGGTGAGGGGAGGACCAAGGAGAAGGGGTCTTTGCACTGGACCTGTGTAATGCTTCCAGACCCTGAGGAGGCTCCCAGGAGCTCTGTTTCTTGGGACCGTGCTGCCTGTGAGGTTTGAAGGCAGGGCTGAAGGGAGGAGCTAGGCTTTATCTTAGGGTGCAGCCCTAACCTCAGATGGTGACAGAGCTGCAGCCAGCAGGGGTTTTGCAAACCGTCCCGATTGCAGCAGGCCAGCAGTCTCGCTGGGGACGAGCGGGTGGGGCCTGAGCTTATCTCCTGAGTACAGTCCTAACCTCAGATGGTGACAAAGCGGGAGCTAGAAGGCGTTTTGCAAACCGTCCCGATTGCAGCAAGGTTGGATAGCCTGGCCAGGGGTGACAGTGCTAGGTGTGGGAGCGGGGCAATAGGGGCTTGGACAGTTTAGGACTCCAGGGTGAAGCTTAGCTCATGGGGTGTAGGGGCTAGATCCATTCGACATGTGGCTTGCCTCTACCTACCCCCAGAGCCCTGTTTCTTCTAAAAGGGAAGCAAATCTAAGGGAAAAATCTAGTCTGTCCCTGGACCTAAAATAAATAAATAAATAAATAAATAATAAAAGAGAAGCAAGAGGCTGCAGCTCTATGGCGGGTCTCTCCCTATCAGGAAGCCTGCCCCTTCCCAGGCCCTGGGACCTTTCCACTGCTTTCTGAAGTCAGAACTGATGGCCATTTTGGTAAAGTTAAGTTGCAGCCATTTTCCTCTGAAAACCCCCACCCTCTCCCCTTGGGGAGAATTTCTCATGTGCCACTGAGGTTTTCTGAGGCTAGGCCAGGCCTGGTTATGGAAGCAGCTGACAGAGGCCAACCAGGGGTTCTGTCCAGCTTGGACTACTCCCATTTTGGAGCAGCCCATGCTGAGTCTTGGGAGGAGGGGTCTGCCTGCGGGGGGCTGGTGAGGGTGACGGGAAGTGACTGGCCTGTCCGAGAGGAGACGCACAGGCTCTCAGCCAGCCCTGCCTGTTGTTGCCTCAGTGTCTCCTGAACAGCCCCCTTCATCCCATAGTCCCCTCACTGGCTTGGAGCAGGGTAGGGGGTGGAGGTGAAGAGGCCCCTTTCCACCCACAACCCCAACCGGGATCTTGCAACACTGGGATGGGGGCCCTGGGGGCCCAGACATGTGGCAATCTGTGTAGAGGGGTGGGGAGGTGTGCACCAAGCAGGGGGGTGGGGGCAGCTTTCACAAGCCACCACCGCTGCTGACTGACCTTGGCAGACTCACCTTGGGCAGCTTCCTCCCTCTGCAGTGTCTCCCCACTGTCTGCCTTCTCCTCTGCAGCTTCCCTGTGGCCTAAGATCCTGTCTCTCAGCTCAGGATTCTCATTCTGCTCCCCAGTTCTGCTCCAGAAAGAAAAGTGGGCCTGAGCTGTGGGTGCTGAAGCAATAGGACTGCTTGTGTGTGCTGTTTGGACCTTGATTTGCTGGTTTTCACCGGCCCTGGTGCATTTCCCCAGGCAGGGTTTGGCTAACTGCCCTTCCCCAGGCTCCTTTCTGTCATCTCCTTCCCCAGTGGTGACAGCCTTACTGTGGTGAAGGTGACAGGAGGACCAAGGGGCAGGGAAGCTGAATCCAGGGGCAGAGAGAACCCTGCTCTCCACCTCCCCCAGCTTCTTACGTACCATCCTTCTTGACAGAGGGAATGAAAATAGTCATTTGCAACCCCTGGAGCCCCATTCTGGAGGGAAGGTGCATCTTTTTCTTACTTATCCTCTCCTTCCTTCTTTCATTCAGCATCCACTCCTGGCTTCCTTTTTCTTGGTCACCTTAGGGCTTTTGCATTTACCCTTCCCTCTGTTCACCCTTACATTCAAGACATACCTGCCTCCTTCTCAAATTTTTTCAAGTTTCAGTTGAAATGTCATTTCCTCAGAGAGACCTTTCCTGGCCACCCCAGCTAAAATAACCTCCCTATCTGTTGGTTTATTTGGTTTTCCCAATGGGCTATTCGAATGGAGTAAGCAGGAAAGTTAATTAAGGTGTTTTATGAAGATGTGAACCAACAGTATCCGGGGAAAGTTCCTGGAGTGGTGAAGTCCCCTGGGCTAGCCCAGTATGGGGGCCTGAGGGCCAGGAATCCTCTGGGAGGGACTGTGGAGAGTGCTGGTCAGCAGGGGGCTCCCATCACCCTCCTCCTGCCAGTCTCACCCGCATCCCCTGAGAAGCTGGTTGATGTAGGGAGGCATCCACCTGGGGACTGTGTAGGGTGATGAAGGGTGGAGAGGGTTCTGGAGGGACAAAGGAAGACATTCAACACACTTGTTTATTGACTTTTTCTTCCTACTCCTGCTGAGAACTTGTCTCATTTCCAGAAAAGATACTCAACAAATACTTGTTGAGTAAGTTATGTTGGCCAAAACCAATTGAGGTCAGATGGAAAGCCTCCTTCAGGAAGTGTGCCCTCTGGCTCTGACTCATCCCCCTGGAATATGATCTGACGCAAAGGATTGGGATGTGTTCAGCTGCTGCACGTCACGCTGGGATCGCAGTGGGGAGATGGGGATGTGACTCCTCCAGACTGGGTACCAGTCAGGAAGGCTCCACTAGGCACCGGCCCTGAGGACCTGACGGGGTGAGTGGGGGCCTGAGAGGAGATACAATTCAGAGCTGTGGGAACGAAGCCTGGGCTTGATGCTGAAGCAAGCCAGGTCCCATCACCCAGAACCTTGAAAGTACGTCAAGGGACAGTGGTCTTGAGCTGAGAGGAGGAAATCCGGAGGTTGAGTCATTTACCATGTTCTGTACAAACCTGCCTTATGCAACCTATCCCCCTGGGCTGAAAGGAAGGTGTGAGGATTCTCCCAGGTGCCCACAGAGACTGGTACCTCCCCTCCTTCCAAACTCAGGAAGCTCCCATCAGTCCCTACACTGAAGGTTCAGCTCTGTCCCTCCAAACCAGACCTGGGGCACGGGCCTCCAGGACACAGAGGTAGGAGAGATGGTGCCCGAGAGACACAGGGGCAAAGGCAGGAAAAGGACTGAGTCCTGGGCAAGATAGACATGTCACACACAGATGCCCGAGGTGTGGGAGGGCTCTACTGCTGGAGATTTGAAGAAGGGAGAGAGATCTGGGATGATCCAGACACCAGTCTCTTGCCCTCTCAGAAAATTATTCCTTGATGTCTGACTCAGGCTTTCCCAGCACTGGCCTAGGAGAGACTTTAACAAGTCCTTAATCTGTCCCTGGCTCCCTGATACTGTTGAGCACTGTTCTTTACTGAATGTGATTCATGTGACACTCAAACTGAGTATCCGTGAGGAGAGTGTAGCATGGAGTAGAGAGAGAGGTACCGTGTACCGAGGCAGCAAAGGTACTCAGTGAGTGTCAGGAGAAGCCTCTTACCCCCTCTGGCCCTCAACTGCTTTATCTATAAAATGTGGCTCACCCTATCTTGCTGGTCTGAGGGCAGAGCCCACCAGATGATCTCTTGAGGTCTCTTCCAGCACATCTCGAGATCTGTGATTTTATGGAGCTAATTTTGGTTCTGCCTCTAAACAATTGTGTGACTCCAGGTAAGTCCCTTCCCCTCTTTGCGGCCTGTTTTCTTACCTACAAAATGAGTTTAGATGAGATCTCCGAGGTCCTTTCAGTTCCAGCAAAATGGAGGAATCATCATAAATATGCTTACTACATGCAAAGTTTTCTTTTTCTATGAATATAACACTACAGAGTGGGTACGAATATTGCTACCATTTTGCAGATGAGGAAACCAAGGCACAGAGAGAAGTAATGGCTGAAGGCTCACAGCTAGTAAGTAGCAGAGTATGATTCAAACTGAGGCTCTTAATTACTGTACCATCTGTCTCTTAGGCTGGAGTCCAATGCCAAAGAAAATGCTGCTTTGAGTGAGGGGTGTCCCTGGCACAGGCAGATTGTCATCCTCCTTCTCATTACCAGTGTTCTCATACACAAATCCGCTTTCCAGGTCTCTCCCAACTGATTCCTGTCCCATGCACTCAATTCTCAAGCTTTACGGAACTGGAGCCCCAGGGATGAGGGACAAAGGATGGAAATGGGTAGGTGGGAGCAGCATTGGGAGGGTGTCCATCTGGTAGACTGAGGCATCGGAAATGGAGAGAAGAGATGGCAGGCTGGATCAAGGGACCATAAATATGGCAGAGCCATCAGGCATTTTCCCGTGGTCACCTGGGGCAGGAGCTCCCAGACCTATACTTCGAGGTGAGAGAGGGTGGGCCTGGGAGCCGCAGGCCTGGGCATGAAGGACTGTGTGGTGCCAGGATCTCCCTACAAGCTACAGATCTTTGTTAGCAGAGCATACAAAGGTTGCTCCAGGTCCTGCGGGGGGCGGAGATGTGCCTTCAGATCACAGAAGGGGATGATGGGGATGTCAGGGAGAGAAAAGCAGAGTGGCAGATACATGGCCTGGTTGTGTGGCATGTAGGGGGCGGGCTGTGGACAGCATGTCTGTGTTTCCACATGTCCATTTGGGCATGGAAACAAGAGGTGCAGACCTAGCCACATGCATCCTCTGTCCCCAGGGTCCTCCATGACACACACACACACACACACACACACACACACACAGAGCCAACAGTCCCAACACCCAGTCACAGTGCAACTTTATTCAGCCACATAATCATTATGCTGGGTCCTGCCCTTCCTTGCCACCCCGGTTGCCATTTATCCATGGTCTATGTCTCAGGGTTCTAGACCCCCAGCAGGATGGGGGTTCGCAGAGCCAGGCCGTGCCACGGAGCCTGGTGCCCAAAGTCCACCAGCCAGACTCAGCTGCAGCCCCCCACGCCCTTGATGAGGTTGGCCGCCTCAGGGATCTGGCGGAAGAGGTTGCGGAGGGTGTCTAGCTCCTGGGTGAGCTGCTCCACGCGGCTGCGGAGGCGCTCGTTCTCTGCCATGTACTCCAGCACCTTCTGCTGCGTCTCCAAAATGCGCCTCTTGGCCTTGTCCCGGCTCTTGCGCACGGCGATGTTGTTGCGCTCCCGCCTCAGCCGGTACTCAAGGCTATCTTTGTTCACTGCCTTCTTGCCCTTGTGTAAGGGGCCAGCGGGGGAGGGCGCCTTCAGAAGGGGACTGCAGGGCGGTGCGGCAGTGGCCAAAGGGGCCTGGAGGGGAAGGCACGGAGAGACGGAGAGGTGAGGGCTGGCCAGGAGGCAGAGCGAAGGCGGGACGGGAATCTCTGCAGCCAGGGCACACTTGCTGCATCGAAGGAATACAGGACTCAGAGCCAGCTCGTGTCTCTCAGGTCAAAACTATCATCGCCCTGCTTCTGGGAGATGGTGACCCAGATGCACAGGGTCCTCTGCTTGAGACCAAAACTCCCTTTCATGTCCTCACACTTTCTTTCTTCTTTTTTGTAAAGATGGAGCCTTGCTATGTTGCCCAGGCGGGTCTCCAACTCCTGGCCTTAAGCGACCGTCCTGCTTTGGCCTCGCAAAGCGCTGGGATTACAGGCATGAGCCACCGCACCCAGCCAATGTTCTCACACTTTCTGAGTACACTTTCCCTCAATCTGTCTTGAGTCTCCTGTTCTATGACCAGCAGACATTTCTTACAGAAGCAGGCGGCAGAGAAACAAGAGGAGGGGGCATGGTGAGCAGCAGAGAGGCTGGTGGGGGGCCTGAGATCAAGGTAGGCCAGCTTGCTGCAGGGTCTTTGGGACATGGTGGGGATTCAGGGTGGGAATGAATTCACAGAGAAGGAAAGGGAGGTCATAGTGCGGTGTGAGCACAGAGGACTGTGGGTTGGGTCCATTTCACAGAGCAACACCAAGCACAGACTCAGCAGCGTGAGCAGGGGCACAGGGTCCTGTCCACACCAGCCTCTCCAGCCCGGGGCAGGAGGGAGGAGGGCTGACCTGCTCTTACCTTGAGAACGCGCAGAGGCTGGCCGGGTGCTGCCAGGGTTGGGGGCAGGTGCATGGCTGTCTGCCCACAGTGTGCCACTTGGTACTGCAGGGGATTGTAGCCGCCTCGGCTGGCAGCTCGGCTGCCCTCTGGCCCCCGGGGCTCCTCCTTCACCGCCACAGCCCTGGGGTCGTAGCTCCCTGGGTTGCTGTAGATGCCAGGCCCCAGCGCCTTCCTGTCTGGGCCGAAGGTATGTGGAGGGTAGGCAAAGGGCCGAGGGTCAGGCGGCAAGTAGTGGGGGAAGGCAGGGGTTCCGGGGCCCTTGAGGCCTCTGGCCTCAGGCGCTGGCTTCACCGCAAAGAGATCGGAGAGAAGCTGCTCTTCCCCAGACTCGATGTAGGCAGAGAGGTCAATGGAGGCCTCATGCTCACACATGTCCCCCAGATCCCCGGGCCCAGCTCGGCCCCCTGAGAACTCAAGTGGCTGCTGGCCGCCCCGGGGCTCACACTCGTAGTAGGTCCCGTGGGACATGGCCGGCCCGCCCCCTCGGCTCCCCGCCCCCACCTGCTCTTGAGGCACCCCTTGGGGTGCTCGGGTTGCCCTCTCTCTACCTCCTCCTGACCTGGGCCTGCCCTCTCTCGATCTCCTGCCCTAGACCTGCCCTCTGCAGTCTCCTCTGTCACCCACTCCTGTGTGGCCTCTCTCCCCCCTCTGCTCTGCTTCCTTTTCCTTCCTCTGTAGTCAATGCCTCTCTTCTCTTCCCTTTTTTCCCCTCTCTCCCCTTGGGGTGACTCAGGGAGGGGCAGGACACACCCCAGAGGGAGAGATGTAAGCCTTAGAGAAAGGGGACTCCTGGCCTATTCAGCAGTTGGGGACACTCCTTGGTCAGGGTCCAAGCCAGGGTTCTGGAGATGCCAGAAGCTGATGCTTCTGGGAATGCCTGTCCACTCCCTCCTGAGCCCAGGGGACTCCAAATCCTCACCAAGGGCAACACCCTACTCTAAGCGTCCTGCTCCCTCCAACTGTGAAAAAGTTCTACGCAGAATGAGGTTCCAAGTTAGAGTGAAGAAAGCCCTCTTCCAGTGCCGACCCTCAGTTGGGTCTCAGCTCCTCCCTTGACATGCCTTCCTCTGGCTCTCCCCTGATGCTGGGCTCCACCTACTCCCAAGAGACAGTTTCTTTTGTGGCCTCACCTCCCAGAGCATTCTCTGAGTGTAGGCCAGGGTTTTGTTTTGTTTTGGTTTGTTTTTGAGGGGTCTGGGGAGTAGTGATAGGTCCTAGGAACAAGCTATACATGGGAGCCTGCATGGTGCTGGAGAGAGTACGCTCATGTGCTAGGTTTTTGCACAGGGGCTGTGCAATAGCCCAAATATGAGTATGTTTCCAGCCCCAGCTACCTGTAGCAGCCTGGCACAGTTCCTAACTCCCTGGGCTTGGTTGAAGCACCTGGTCAGGACTTGGGCCTTGCACCGCAGGCCCAGGCAGGCTGCTGCCCTTGGAATAGACAGCCATAATCCTCCGGTGGCTCCAGCACTTCTCTCTTCCAGCTGTTCTCTGCTGCAAGAGGCTCAGGCTGGCGCTTTGCCCCTCACCCTGGGCCTGAGGCTCTGCCTCTGGTTTCCTGTGCCCTGGGCTGCAGGGCTCAGGAGCTTGCTGCAGCTCGTTTGCTGTCTTTCCTTTTGCATGGCCGCTCTCTGATCTCCAATGCGTGTCTCTTGGGTCTACTTCCTCTTGTGAGGTTTGAGAAGCCTCTTATGTCATCACCTCTTCCTGGGGCTCTGTTTTAGGGTCTCCAGGAGAAGCCCATGGCTCTCTATCTGCAATTCTTGGTTCTGTGCTGGCTCTCCTCTTCCCTTTTCTCTTTCCTTTGGGAACTCCCAACTGCCTCCTTTCAGAGACACCTGCTCAGGTCCTGCTTTTACCTGTTGAATTTCATCTCCAAAAGGTCCAGCGGGGGGTGGGGGGTGGGGGGAGGAAAGGGCACATAGAAATGTTACTGTCTCTTTTATGACCAGCAAGTACTCTGGGTGCCCCGGGGGGCCAGAAGTTTTTGTAAGTTGGGCCAAACAAGGGCTGGGTCACTGTGAGTGGGCCCCAGTGGGACAAGTGCAGAGAGGATGTATGTGGCATTGAACATTAAAATTTTAAAAATGTGTATTCTGGTTAGCATATTCCTTCCATCCTCCCTACCCCAACACCTACCCTAGATGCTGTCTGTGCATGACTTGAGACACAGCCCGATATGCTTTCTCTGAAAGCACAGTGACCTGGTATGAGGAGATCTGTGTGCATCCCAGAGACGGATGTCAGGAATTAGGGAGATTTCTCCATTTCGAAGCTGAGCTCTCCGTTTGGTGGCAGTGCTTCTGTTGACCACCAGGTGGCAATATTGGCCCCAATATTTCGGACTTGGCGGGCTGCTGTGGTCTGGACTCAGGTGGACAGCAGAGGGCAGCCTCTCACAGCTCTGGCTCTCAGCAAGCTCCTGCGGGGGGTCTGGAAGGAGGAAGAGGAGACCTGGCTGGGATGGGGTCTTGCAGTGCAGTTCTAGGGAGAATAAGCAGCCTGCAAGTCCTGCGTCCAGGGCCTTGTCTCCATGAGGAGAAATTCTGTCCCCTCCGCTACTTTGAAATAATGATAATGAATAGGCCTTGTGCTTTCTGATAAATTAATGCTTTTTCAATCCTTGAAACATACACTTTTTCATGCTCTTTGCCTGTGGGTTATGCAGGAAGGTAGGCAAGGCAGACAGTATTTTTATTCCTACTTTATAAACAAGGAAAACAAGGCTGAGAGGCTGAGCTGCCCAAGGTCATCCAAGGAGGATGCCTGGTTCATCTCTGGCTGAAGGGATGGGAAGGGGTTGCTATGTGACTTGGAGAACCTTCCTGGCCCTCATTTGGCCACCATGGGGAGGGGGAAGTCTGCATCAGTAGCTGCGCAGGAGGAAGTGGGAGGTATGTAAATAGAGCCGCAGGAAATGAGAAAGTCAGCAGCTTTAGCCATGGTGAGATAAATCTCTGCCCCGGCCTCCCCGGCTAGTGCTGACGTTGCTGGTACGCTGACCTCAGTGTTTCCCAGTAACAGGGGTTTGGCTGGGGCAGGCAGGGCTCTGGATGTCAGGGTAGGGTAGGGGGAGCTCTGGACAGGAAGGGGAGGTGAGGAGGGCAGTGCCAGTCAGTGGCTGGGGGTTGCTTGCTCAGGAGAGGAAAGAAGCTCTCCCGGGTCAGCAGGATCATTTTTCCTTTGCCACTGCAGTTACTACCTGTTTGGATGAACTGAAATGATGCATGTTTGTTATCTTAGTGACTTTGTAACAGGCCTCCTTCCAGTGCCACTTTTTTGGTGAATTAAGACTTTCCCAGTAGGAAGGTAGCTGAGCATGGCTGTGAAGTGTTAAGAGAGAACTGGGCTCAAATCTGGCCTCTGTCACTAACCAACTCCATGACTCTGGGCAAGTTACTTAATCTTCCTTGCAAAGTGGCAGTAGTAATACCTCCTTCATAGGGTTGTTTAATTTAAACTGTGAATAACATAGTGTATGTCATGCAACTGGTCTTAGTAAATGTGAAGTCTCCTTCTTCTCTTCCTCTGACCTCTCATTGCAGTTTTATCTGTGTCTCCTTGACACTCACTACCTGCTGCCTGGTGTGGTGCGTCAGTTTGACGAACATTTTTGAGCACATAGGTACCAGGCACTGCACGAGGTCTGGGGATGTGTTGGCTTTAGCCCTTGCCAATAGGGATCACAGCCCAGCAGGAAGGCCCACAGGCAGTGGTTCCAGCATGGCATGGGTGGTCTGTGGAGCCAGGATGCACACACATATGTGTGCCATGCATATCCTTGGTTTTGTTCCCCTAGCAAACTATTTGCTTTTTGAGGGTAGAGTCAGTTACATCTTTTGGACCTCTTCAACTATGGTGATCACATTTCCTGAATTAAAATGAAGGACAGGGCCGGGTGCGGTGGCTCGCACTTGTAATCCCAGCACTTTGGGAGGCTGAGGCGTTTGGATCACGAGGTCAGGAGATCAAGACCACCCTGGCTAACATAGTGAAACCCCGTCTCTACTTAAAAAAAAAAAAATTAGCTGGGCGTGGCGGCACGTGCCTGTAATCCTGGCTACTCTGGAGGCTGAGGCAGAAGAATCTCTTGAACCTGGGAGGCGGAGGTTGCAGTGAGCCAAGATCACGTCACTGCACTCCAACCTGGCAATAAAGCTAGACTCCGTCTCAAAAAAAAAAAAAAAAAAAAAAAGAAGGACAGGCAGGTTGACACATCTGAATATCCTTATGAAGACAATGGAAGAAAATATTTGAAGTCTGTGCTGACTTAGAAAAATCAGGAAAAAAATTTACTATTTCTACAGCATATAGCAAAGTCTTGGACAGAATGGTCACAAAAAGATTTGTTGTGTGACCACATTAATAAATGAATGCATAAGCAGCTACGATTTCAGTGACTTTCAAAATGTTCCCAAATTCCCTAAACTCAGAGCATGTGAAATTCCTAGCATTAAAGTGACTGACAGGGTTAAGACGGGAAATGGCCAGGTTAAAAGTAAATGTTTGTTGCCCGGGAGGAGACCCACATTTGCCCATTTGACCAGGTTGAAAAGATCAGCAGGTGTCACAGAAAGAGAGGGTGCTCCCGAAGGACAAGTGCCTCCATGGAGTGAGAAGGGACGAGGGACAGGACTTGCTCAAATGGGGCAATAGGGAGGAGCCTGGGGCAGTCCAGGGAAAGAAAAGGTGTGTGTGCTGGGGAAGGGGGGCCCAAAGGGCAGATGTGAGGCTTGGAAAAGACTGGCCTCTGCCTTTTGGGACAACCTAAAATTGGAAGATTGAGGAACTGTTTACGATTAGGTCCAGCTCTCTCTCTTAAAATGCTAAGCAGGTAAGGTGACTTGCCCAAGGACACACAGCTGTTTAGCGGCCGGCCTCCCAGCTCGGCGTCCCTGTTGAATGGCGAGCTTCCAGCCTGTCTGGAAGAATGACAGTCACAAAGCAGGAGTGTTGGCGTCAGGCCAGGACTGGGAGTGGCGGCATCTTGCCTGCCTTGTCCTCACAGTGTTCCAGATGGTGAAGGGTGATGTCTTAACACCACTGCCCCTCCACCACCCCCTTTTCTCCGCCCTTGCCCTACATCTGCTAGCAGTGCTGGCTCTGGACACGCAGCCAGGAGGGCAGCCCATAAAGACAGGGACACAAAGCAAGGACTGGGGCTAATCCCATCAACTTCCTCTGGCAGTTAACCCAAAACGTCAGGAAGTGCTTGTACATACCTTAACGACTTCTTCCTTTTTCCCTGTCCTAGTCCAATGGTCCTCCTACTCTTCCTCCTAGAGCTAACTCTTCTTCTCAGATGGCTCTGTCGAGCTGAGTGAACCTAGCCTTACCTCCCAGGCCCTCCCATCAAGCTCCTCGGATCCTGACTCGCCCCATAGACTTGGCTCAGGCTGTGCTGATGAGAGAAGCCTTTGCTGATCGAGCTTTGGGAGGACGTCTGCCTTTGCCTCCCTCAGCTTGGCTGGGTGCCGTCTCTCCCTTGCCCACGTTCCCACCCTGGGCAGTGTTGAGTTCTTCCCAGTTAGTCTGCAGGCTTTCACTATGGTGCACAGAGCAGGAACTTAGTAACACTTCGTGACTCCAAGAAGGAATGAGTGAGTGTTGGTAAATAAAAAAGTACAGAAGGTCATGGTTTTGGACTAAGCTCCTGCTCTAGGCCCCACAGACCAGACTAAAATCAAAATGGAATCCCCCATGCTAAAGTTCCACATCACCAAATCTAAACTAAGTTGTTATCTGACCTTCCTAGAAATCAGGAGAGAGATATAACAGCCAATTAAAACAGGTCAATTTCAATATTCAATGGGCATGATAATGAAGTTCCCTCTGCTTTAATCTTTACACAAAACACGGTAGCCTAAGGGATCCTGATATTAACTAATCAGTTATTTTTCTATTGTTCTGTCTCCCTGTCCCCACCTTACAAGAAAAGTAACTTTGTTTCTGAGACAGGGGCTTGCTCTTCCGCCCAGGTTGGAGGTGCAGTAGCGTAATCACAGCTCACTGTGGCCTCAACCTCCCATGCTCAACCTGTCCTCCTTTCGGCCTCAGCCTCCCAAGTAGCTGGGACTACAAGCACATACCACCATGCCCAGCTAATTTTATCTTTTGTAGAGATGAGGTCTTGCCATGTTGCCCAGGCTGGTCTCAAACTCCTGGGCTCAAGAGATCCTCCCTCCTCGGCCTCCCAAAGGGCTGGGATTACAGGAGTGAGCCACTGTGCCCAGCCAAGAAAAGCAACTTTGAAAAGTGACTAACCAGCTTTCTTCAGCCCTTTCCTGTCTGTAAAGCCAACCTCTTCTGCTCAACTCTTTGGAACATGTATTCTATTTAATGGAATGAAGTGTTGCCTGATTCCAGAATTACAGTAAACAGTTGAGATCTGTAAATTTGTTGTACTTTTGTCTTTTGATGATGTTTTTGGTTCAGAATGAGAGTCAGTGGTTTGAATGCACTGGTACTGAGTCCCTACGATAGCTAGAAGTTACAGAGAGCAAGAGCTTTTAGGAATGGCATTCTGGAAGGAACCTGGCACGATCTCCTAAGAGGAAATGCCTGGTGACTCTGTCTCAAAAGGTTACTTAATTATCAACACCACCAACTTCATTTCCATTTTAAATTTTATTACATCAAAAGAAAAACCTCTCCACAAAACAAATTTTAAAACCTACACCAAGCGAAAGAAGTTATCATCCAGGTTCTAACTCCACCCCCCAAAACAACCTTACATTTAAAAAAATCCAAAAGAAATAGAAATACCAGCTTCAAAAATATTTATCCAAAAAGTAAGGCATCAACTTTACAAAAAAATAATTGAAGGAGGGGAGGAAGTTGGAGGAATGAGAAAAGAGGGAACAAGAAGATGGTCCCCTGACCCTCCAGGGGCCAACCCCAGCCTGCCAGGCATCTACGCTGAAGGGGTCACAACTCAGACCAAACTTGGCATCTCACCAACTATGGGGCAGGCAGGCTGGGCAGGGAAGCTGGGAGACACCACCCAGGTCAGGAAGGGCTCCTGTGTATTCCAGTTTAAGCAGACAGAACTGGGGTGAGGGAGAGAATCCCGATTTGTGATAAAAGGATCCTAAGTCCTTAGTGCAGCAGGAGTGACTGGGGAGGTTGCAGGGCCCATGACCAACTCCATGGCCTTCCATGGGAGCCCAGGGAAAGGTCAGAGGCCGCCAGCCACAGAGGAGGGCCTTTTTGGAGGACCTCCAGAGCGGGCGCCCTGCTGCCGCTGCCCTCTCACCCCGCCCCAAGACGGCATGGCACTGAGACCTGAGAGGAGTGGCTACTGGAGTTGAGGACGGACGGGAAAGGAACTGGGCTTCAGTCAATGCTCTCCCCAGTCTCCCAGGGTGTGGAATGGGCACCTCTGGGGAGGGGGAAAGCGCCCTTCCTCCCAGGGAAGGCATTTAATATCAGATCCGTCCTGAGGGTTAGAAATAGGGGAGTATTTTTAGGCCAAGTTCTTGGATGGGAGGTGACTTAAGGCTGATTTGGCTCTGATCTCAGGCCTGAAGGACTTGGGGATCCTTCACACCCGGTCCCAAGCCAAGGCCCAGAGAGGAGAAGGGCATGGTGGGGGCGGTGGTGCTGGCTGTGTGTGGGCGTGCTGGGAGTGGCTGTAGGGATAGCAGGGGACTGCTCCTTCCTGTGATGGGGAGGTGGAGTTGCTGAGAGAGATGCCCACTAAATTAAAAATCAGAAGCCTTTTTGGCTTCTGGAAGCTTTGGCACCATGTTGGGGGCAGGATGCAGGAGGCAGGGGCAGGGCTGGGTTTCTGCAATCTGAGCCTTTCTCAGTATGTTCCTCAACCGCCTGGCTTGGGGGTGGAGAGGCTGTTCTTCTCCTTGGTCCTTAGCTCTGGGAGTTGGCGTCCTGAGGAGAACCGAATTCTGGACAGGGAGCCCTGGCTGGGGTGGGTGCAGGTATGATGGGGAGGGGCAGGAAAGAGGGCAGAGGGAAGCATCCCCTTGGATTTTGGGTCCCTGGCGAAGAGATAGGGTCTTGGGTCTCTCCAGCTGACCCCTTGATGGGGACAGAATTGCTTGAGCCTGTGCCCCCGCAACACAGCCCCTGTGGCCACCTCTCCTCTCTGAAGGGGCCTCCCTGGGAGGGAAGGCAGTAATGAGCTCTGGTTCCTGAAGAAGCAGCTGAGGGTGTGACCCGGCATCTTGGCACCTTGGCATCTCCCCTCTCCTGCAGCAGCTGGGAGTGTGGGCAGCACTGGAGTGGGGCCTGGGACATGGACCCTGGGGTGAGAGACTGGTTCTTTGGGTATGAATGTGAGTTTTTGTTTACAATTTCTCACTACCCACACCGAAGTCCTACCGCTGCCTGACAAAAGCAGAGAGAGGGGTGTGTGTGTACTTGCATGTGTTGGGGGGACCAAGGCAGGGAGGTAGGATAAAAGGGGAGGGAGGAGGGAGTAGCCAGCTGAGGGAATGGTGGTCCTTAGGGCTGGGCCTGCCCCGCCACGTCCTTGTCCTTGGTGGGAGTGGGTTGGTACATGGGCTGCTGCTGCTCCTCCATGTCCTCATTAGCCTTCTCTGTCCCTGAGCCCTGCTCCGCCTCAGGGTACACGACCACACACAGCTTCTGGCTCACCAGGGTTAGCAGCTCTGTAGGAAGAGATCAAACAGAAACCAGGCCAGTGCTGAGCATCGCACCAACCTGGCCAAGCGGCCCCGGCCCTTCCCGGCTCTCCTGCTCCAAGTTCTGCCTCTTCAGAGCAGTCAGTGCTTGAGGAGAATCCTTTCCACCTGGTCTGCCTCCTGCATCTCCCGCCGGCTGCTCCTTGCTCATGAAGGCCCCAGCCTTCCACCTTCCCTGTGCCCACTGACCCCCAAGTCCGGGGTCTCCGCTGGTCTCCATCCAGCTTGGGGCAGCTCTCACAGGATGGCTGATAGGTTGCCTATTTAATTTTTAAATTTTTAATAATAGAGATGGGGTCT